CAGTCAGGCTTTGCGGTGCCACATGCCGCTCAAAATAACTGTACTCCAACGTCATTTTTATTCAGCTACATGCAAAAATATGCAGAAAGATTAATGTGATATGGAACATAGAAACATGCTTGATGCTCTCGCCATTACCTCTGTGTAGGCTCTCTGTTTTATATTTCATATGTAACGTGGGGTGTGCCTGCTTTATATTCCATTCTTTGTGTTAAAGTATTCAGGAGATATGAAGTCATGCAGTCACATTGATGATAGAACATGTGAAGGGCGATGTGGTGCATCAAGAGCGTGTAGTGTATACCTATGCTTCTAAGCTTGCGTCTCTTTATGACAGTCCTGTGGCTGTGATGAAAGGACGAGGCACGTTTGAAGTTGGACAACATGTACAGAGGTGTATAATTTGCCTAAACTGATTTTCTATAGTGTCGCTGGTGTAGAGGTTTGAAGCTCTACAATCAGAGCGGAATTGAAGAAACTGGAACACATTTGGTGTTTGAATCTATGATGTAAATCAATTATTTATTTATTTTTTTAGTCCTGTGGAATTCATACATAGAATGATTTACATACATAACTTCTATTATAATCAAGTTTTAATTTCGGTTTTAAAACTAATTTTGTTATTTTTGGGGGGTCATGAAGTAAAAATATCAGCATGATACAACCGTGATATCTTAATAAATAAAAAATGTCTATAATTACAATTAAAACATTTTTGAAAAGACAAGTATTTTGGCATATTTCTGGCAACCCTTTTTTGTTGTTTTTTGGATTTTTAACAACTTTTTCACTACTTAAATATTATTTAAGTGTCACTACTTAATATTTGAGAAACTTTTGTCCACTAAATTTAAAATCATATGGGTAAAGTGGGAAAACAAACATCCATGGAAAAAAAGCAGAGGAACAAAATGAATTTAATAGAAAGGACCCATTTAGTTTATTTTTTATAAATGTTATTACTTTTTGCTTTATAGATACACCTCAGGGCATTTTTTTAGTCATTAAATTGAAAATGGTATAACAGTTTTAAAAAACTATTTAAAACCAACAATTAATACAAAGAACTTTCTAAGAACTTGGCACATTTTTTAAAACTACAAAATGCTATGTGTGCAAGAGATCCACAAAGCCGCAAGTACATTTTGTGATTTGTTTTGATTCTTTGGGAATATCGTATGTAAAACAGTCATGCCAATTAATTTCTTTGAAATTGAAATCGAAACTATTCTAATCATGGGCATAATGTTAATAACTCTTTTATGGTTTCACAAAACAGGTTTCCTAACATGTATCTGTATCTTGAATTATTGCGGTAAGTGAACTGAGGTCTTTGGATTGGAGAGCAGTAGATTAAGCTTGCTGGAGTAGATGGGAGCTTTACAGGGGCAGGTGGGGCTCCACTGGTGAGTTAGGGGGAGGGCAGGGGACAGGTGATGCTGAGAAAAGCTGTACAGAACGGATCCTAATGAGCCTTTTCTAATCCGCCCAAATCTTTGTAACGATCCCACAAATGTCAGGCTGTAGTTGAAGGTGAAAGGAAGACACAGGGATTTGAGCGGCAAGATAAGAGGGGTAATCTTCAACACCCAGACCTCCTTCTTTACAGAGAGAAGGGGTGAGATGAAAGTGCTGTGCTCGACCCCAAGTGTGTTCTGACTGCTTATGAAATTAGTCCATACTAGGCTGTTAAATACTGTCACATACTATCAGGGCCGTACCCACCATTAAGGTCTCCGAGGTCCGGATCTCGGTATTTTCCAATAACCGAAGTTGTAAAATAATTACATATTCTGCTTTGGTGCTGCAAGGATAAAAAGCCAAGATAACATCTTCTCATCTGAGATGCCTCAGCAGGGTTGTGCGTTATATATTGTCTGTGATAATATCGTAATTGTTGTTTTAACGACGTGCGAATTGACATTATCAAGTATTTTGCAAATACCATTTAGAACACCAGTACAGAGTGCACACGTACATTACGTGAAGTCTGAGCTAGGCTAGTGCGTGTGCGCATCAGAGTGCGTTCTTTCACTGCATGATTCAGTCTATTAAAATTCATTTAGAATGATCACAAATTAAGACATGGGGGCAGAAAATGTATTTATTTTATACCACTTAATCAATTTCACATGAAGAGTGCTTCTTTTCTCCAAAAATTACCATGATTACAAATGTTAGGCTATATTGATTTTTTTACAACAGCTCAATAAACAAGAACTTACGTTTTAGACACCATATTGCCTGTTTTTGCTCTATTTCGCCAACAAAAATAATTCCAAACACAGCAACAGCACAGTTTTGCGTCTCTGAGCAACATGATGGTGTTTCGTTCCTGAATGAATCAACCATTTAAATGATTTGGTTCAATC